CCCCCCCCTTGGGGGCCCCCCCCCCCAGATGAACCCTTTGTGATGATAAGGCGAGGCGTTTGATATAGGTGGAAACTGCAGCAGCAGCAAGAGTAGCAGCAGCAGCAGCAACTGCTGCTGCTGCAGCAACCGTTGTTGCTGCAGCAGATGCGTGGCTATACTTCCTTAACTATCTTGGGGCCCCCCCCGCCCCCCAAGCTGATCTCCTGGGGGCCCCCACGGCAGGGTACTGGGTGGGTCCCTGGGGGCCCCTGTGTCTGCTCGCTATCAGTAGTAGTAGAGAGGGGGGCCCCCCTAGTAACAAAGAAAACAGAGCAGCAACAACACCATACAAAACCCCAAAAGCCTTAAAACGAAAGAGGTACTCTGGGGGCCCCCAAGGCCTCAAAAAAGAAAGGCTGCAGAAGGGGGCCCCCAAAACCCTCAACAGCAAAGGGGTCCTCAGGGGGCCCCCATGGCCTTCAAAAAGGAAGGCTGCACAGGGGGCCCAAGGGTACAGGGGTGGCCCCCCAAACCCTTAACGAAAAGGGTACACATGGGGCCCCTATTAAAAGATAAAGGGTACTCAGGGGGGCCCCCAAAATATTAAAAGAGAGAGGGTACTCATAGGGCCCCCCCCCCCAATGCCTGGAAGGCCAGAACACAGGGGCCCCCCAAGACCTTAGAAAAAGAAAAAGGGTACAGATGGGGCCCCCCCTTGAAAGATAAAGGGTACAGATGGGGCCCCCCCTTGAAAGAAGAAGGGTACACATGGGGGCCCTCAATGTCTTAATAAAGAGAGGGTACAGAGGGGCCCCCCAAAGGCTACACAGGGGGCCCCCCAAGGCCTTAAAAAAGAAAGGCTACACAGGGGGCCCCTGACGGCCTCAATACAAAAGGGGGGCCCCCAAAGGCCTTGAAAATAAAGGGTACAGAAGGGGGCCCCAGACGGCCTTAACTTGTACAAGGTACCCTGGGGGCCCCCCTGGGGGCCCCTTGGGGGCCCCCCAAGGCCTTAATTAAGAAGAAATCGGTATCAAAACGGCCCCTTAAGAATATAGAAGGGGGGGCCCCC